GCAGGAATGATCTATTATCACGTGCCTAATCTAAAAATAAGGGTGACTCTTGAGAAAAAGTAGGAACACGAGAACAAATTTAACTGTGGAAAAAGGCCAAGGAAGAGGAACAGTAGTTTTAATGCAAAGTGACAGCCACAACTTCACAACAAATTAGAAAATTCCTACTTAGTGGAACCTAATGCTTTACAGGTGACTTGTTCTGGTGGCCTCATTAACCCTAAATACTCTGAGAGCAATAAACAGTTTCCCTGACAGAACTTCATCCAAGCACAACTGATGATTTTTTTCAGAGTTCTGAAAGAAACTGGAATAGTATCAATGCATAAACAGAAATCAATCTCCCACATTCAAGTCACTTAAATGCAAAAGCTACTCTTTCAAACAATACTGTCTGTAACTTGCTTTAGTCTTTCAAATACATATTTCACAACATTACAGTCTTTTAGAATTTTATTTTGTATTATTCTAATCAAAGTATCTTTGGGAAGATTCTATCATGTCTCTTCTGCATAGCATAACAAAACAAGAACTATTTTTGATGGTGTTTTGTTCTCACAAATTTGTTATTATAGTGTGCTTTTAAATGCATCCCTTTCTGTCTAAAAGAACTACCATGACTTTTAAATAAAAGAATGGCAAAATGAGTTAATTCACTGCATTTTTTTCTGTTTAAAAGGCTACAGCAGTCCATTACAGAACAAACAGATCATTAGTGAAGTACTGTGAACCAGACTGGTACTGTAAAGAACTGAAAAAAGTAAAAGCATTGCAGAAGTGTGAGTTAATGTCCTGTAGACCTGTCATACAGCAAAATGCTTAAACTAAGGCCATCTGGTTTACCAAAGCCCAAGAAGTTATATGACAACATAATAATGGTTAATAAATAGCTAAAACCTTTCTGCATGAGTGATGCAAGTGTTTTGGTTCTTATTGTTACACTCATTCACTTCCTGTCCAGATTTTTATTTCTCATTCATATTATCTGATCACCTTTCTATAGTGCAGCATGCCATACAAAAACCCAGAGCAATTTAAGCATCTGGAACACAAACTAGATGAATTTAGACTGGGAAAAAGAGATTCATATTTTAATGCAAATTGCAAGATGAGTTGCTGGACACACAATTCAGGAAAGTCATGAGCTCCTAATCCCTCCTTCCTGCATGCTTCATATAATTTTATCTAACGACTGTTTAATGTAAAATGCATAAACAGGTATCAAGAACAAAGATTAGAACTGTAAAGTCTTGTGCCAGAGCAGTGCCCTCATCACTCAACAGCTAACTACCTCTGGTTCCTCGAGTCATACGTGCGGCTACATTGTGGGGAAGCTTTACCAGGTGGCTTATGTTCCCATACAGGCCAGTTCAGAACCCTGCAGCAGGGTCCTCTTCCAGAAGGAAAGATGTGTGGATTTGAATCTTTAAACTTGAAGGATGCACAGAATGCAGGTGGACCACTATTCACCAATCACTAAACAAATTCTAAGTCATCTACTACATTTTAAAGACTTTAGACACCAAAGAAACTATGGCACCATTTATATTCAGATCATACCCCTGCAAAGCTGCATATAGGAACTAAAACATTCAAAATTTCTCAGAAACTCTTTAAAGTTTCTACAACCATAGTAATCTACCTGCAGGTCAGACAGCTGGAATGACTTCTAATTCCTGGGTAAAAAGCATAACCATCTTGTTAGATTTGTGATATTCACAGAGGTATCCAAGCCGTTAAATTTAAGACATAGTAATACAATACAATGGTCATCATCTATATGGTCACATGAGTATTTTGGTTTGATTCAGGAGCGTGTTTTTGAAACAAATCTTCTGATTATGTCCACGTACCATTCATTGGTTTTCATTGTACAGTGTAACCAGAGCATATTTACTCTCAAATAGAAGATGCTGTTCATCTATCAGTTGTTACAGGACTGCAGTATAGCTAGTATGAAGCACAGAACCTCAAAATGTATAGAATTGTCAAACAGGGCCCTCGGCATCAACTGCTTTGCTCTACAGATCTGCTACTGTTATGTTCTAGTATTTGCTAATGTGGACATATCCTATGCCTCTGGATTTGGTTCCATCGTGAGTTTTTTCTGTGTGGAATCTGTAGAGAAAAGAAAGTCCTCTGTCTTCAACATGAAGTACCCATATATCTGAGAAAAAAATTGGGGAAAGCTTTTTCTGCTCCTTTTTGACCTTTACTTTAGACCCCAACACTGTGTAGACACAGAAATCAATGACAGCATGATATGCTTTTGAATTTGTCCTTCATTGAGGGTCTTGGCACTCAATGTGAGGGACAGAGTGTTAAGACTGCAGTGATGCTGAAGGTACCTGTTTTTGCAGAGTTGAAGTTTAGCAAATACTTCTACATCAAAACTATATGTATGTTTTCCCAAATTCACACAATTTTGGAGAAAGTACAATGTATTTGCTTGTTAGGCCTGCTTGGTTAAAAGACTATTGGGAAACATAAACAGGATTTCTGCATGTGACAAGATAACAAGAAATTTTGAAAGGACAGGAAGACCTCAGGACACAGAAAGATAAGTAGCATGCAAGCATTTTTCTCTCAAACACCAGACTAGTTGCTTTTCAAAATTATTTTTGAAAAACAGAGTGCTTTAGTTTTCTAGGAGGAAAAAAATATAAATCTATAAATCATCTGATATCACAGTCAATCTTTAAGTGTAGCCAGAGAACTATGCGTACAGACAGACAGCGAAGAAGTGAGAACTAGAGCCTCACTATGCCTACCAGGAGGCACTAACCTGTATCTTTCAGCTTTGTAATTTTTGCACGCTTTCTTGTGGAACACCCACTGCTGTCTTATGGAGTAATAGCCCTCATGAACCCCAGACTAATACAGATTTAAATGACTAAACCTGTTATATACTGTGTTCAAGTATAGGACACAAACAAGCATACCTAGATGTTTCACACAAAAAATGTTGTACTTGTAAGAATATCCATAGAACTGGTCTAAGATTATTACATCACTTAAAAATAATAAAAAACGAATGAATCGGCACAGATATAAAGTTACAATTCACATTTAAAACAAAAAATAAAATCTAGCCCTTATCAAAAGTAAAACATTATATTAAAGCAAAGCTATTAATTCAAACCAAGTCATTAACCACTTACATATTCTAAAATATTCTGTATGCATAGTTCTAAAATGTATTTTTGTGTAAAGTGTTAGTTGATTGTTGCATTTGACATCTAAATAAATTAATTTTGGTATGAAACAAAAAAAGAGAACATATTTGGGATAAACCAAACTATTATCCAATGAAAAACAGATACAGAAATGCATTCAAATTGTATATCACGGAAAACTTACATCTAGTAGCGTGTGAAGATGTTGATCCTGGAAAACACTGTGAAGAAAATCTAAGTCTTTTTCGCTGCAGTCTGTAAGTGCATGAATTTCTTCCAGGCTGTCTAGCACCTGTGAGACTGCTCCTATGGGGCAATAAACAGGAAAAAAAAAAAGAAAGAATAAAAATCAATAAAGCAAAGACTCACGGTAAACTGAACTTTGGAAAAGGAAACTTTCACTTCATCTGGTACAACTGGAACAGGAACTTTAAAAAGCTGGTTTTTAGAGGAAAACCCATTGAATAAACTTTACATATATCAACAGTGACCATATATAGTGTAACTATACATAACAAATGGTTTAACTGAAGAGAGGTTAAAACCTGTTTTTATCAAGCTTAGCTTTGTTTTACTTTAGCCTGATTTCCAAGGATGTCTTTCGAAGTTACTGGGATTATCTGCCCAACTGTCTGTCCTCACCATTCTCACCCCAACCTTTTCTTCATTTTTTTGAACTGCTGGCCAGTTTCACATACATATTCCAAATCAGCAAAAATCTGAAAGAACCAACGGTCTCACAGATTCTTTTAAAATCAGTGTCTGGATAGAGGAGGGAAGAGAGAGAAAGACCTGACTGCTGTGTCCTCTGGAGGAGAAAAAAAGGGTGCAACATGAGCTCCGGTTTTTGTTCTGTTTGTTCTGCTTGCCTGGTTATCTCAGACCCAGTTATAGCACTTGCTGCCTATTGACCAGTGGATTGTTTTGGGTCATAGGAAGATGGGGATGATTTTTATACGGCGTAAGGGTGAAAAGAAAAGTGAGGAATAAGGGGAAAAAATGGAGAAACAGGAGGCATTAACGGAAGGTGGAAGCCCATGAGGAGACTTGAACTCACAGCAGGGGAGGATACAGAAACACAACACAAATTCATACTGGTTCCTTGTGGAACAAACTGTTTTAAAAATCAGGTATCAGCGGTGGCTGCCGCTTTTGTGCATTACTAGAATGCTAACTTTGGCTTATCTAAACACCCACAGACCATATCTTCAGTTTTTCCACAGTGGTATAAGCACCTGGAAAGATGGCAGCATATCCAGTGTTAGTCTGAAAAAATGGTGGTGTCTGACAGTGAACTGCTGAATGTTTTTTCATAAATAAACTCTTAATCCTGGATACAGAATTCTACACATTCTGTATTTCACTAATTTCTCCCTATATGTTTATTCTGTTTACTTATTCATTTGCCAGTGCCCTTTCGTCAAGATAGATAATATCAAAAGAATTGTTATATTTCTTGAAATAATTGAATTTCTTCCATTCTCTACTGTATGAACAATTCTTAT